AGGAGGAGAGGAGGAGGGGAGGAGGAGGAGGAGGAGGAGGAGGAGGAGGAGGAGGAGAGAGGAGGAGGGAGGGAGGAGGAGGAGGAGGGGAGGGGGGAGGGGGGAGGAGGGGGAGGGGAGGAGGAGGGAGGAGGAGGAGGAGGAGGAGGAGGAGGGAGGAGGAGGAGGAGGAGGAGGAGGAGGAGGAGGAGGAGGAGGAGGAGGAGGAGGGAGGAGGAGGAGGAGGAGGGAGGAGGAGGAGGGGGGGGGGGGGGGGGGGGAGGGGGGGGGAGGGGGGGGGAGGGGGGGGGGGAGGAGGAGGAGGAGGAGGAGGAGGAAGGAGGAGGAGGAGGAGGAGGGGAGGGAGGGAGGAGGAGAGGAGGGGAGGAGGAGGAGGAGGAGGGAAGGAGGGAGGAGGAGGAGGAGGAGGAGGAGGAGGGAGGAGGGAGGAGGGAGGAGGAAGGAGGAGGAGGAGGAGGAGGAGGGAGGAGGAGGAGAGGAGGAGGAAGGAGGAGGAGGAGGAGGAGGAGGAGGGAGGAGGGGAGGGAGGAGGGGAGGAGGAGGAGGAGGAGGAGGGAGGAGGAGAGGGAGGAGGAGGAGGGAGGGAGGAGGAGGAGGAGGGAGGAGAGGAGGAGAGGAGGGAGGAGGAGGAGGGAGGAGGAGGAGGAGGAGGAGGAGGAGGAGAGGAGGAGGAGGGAGGAGGAGGAGGAGGGAGGGAGGGGGGGGGGGGGGGGGGGAGGGAGGAGGAGGGAGGAGGGAGGGAGGAGGAGGAGGGAGGGGAGGAGGAGGAGGAGGAGGAGGGAGGAGGGAGGAGAGGAGGAGGGAGGAGGAGGGGAGGGAGGAGGAGGAGGAGGAGGAGGAGAGGAGGAGGAGGAGGGAGGAGGAGGAGGAGGAGGAGGGAGGAGGGAGGGAGGGAGGAGGAGGAGGAGGAGGAGGAGGGAGGAGGAGGAGGAGGAGGGAGGAGGAGGGAGGCAGCAGAGGGCGATGGCGATAGCAGTAGAACCGACGAGCCTCTCAAGCGGGCCAAGGGGGGATCGCCATGGGACTGCAGTGACGGCGAGAGTGGGGAGGAGGAGGATGAGGAGGAGCAGGGCTAGGCGGATGAGGGCTAGTCGGATAGGGAATAGCAGGAGGAGGCTGAGCAGCAGGAGGACAGGGAGGAGGAGAGGAGGAGTAGGGGGGAGAGGACTAGGGGGATGATGCTTAGGAGGAGGACGACGAGGGGATGGTGGAGTAGGAGAAGAATGAGGCCTAGAACGATGAGGCCACCTTAGCGATGAGAACATCACATTCCTGTTTCAAAGCCGTTAATCACCTCGTAGAACGATGCAGGCCGCCTTAGCGATCAGGCCACTTGTTTGCGCGAGCTTTTGATTAAAAAAAATTCATGAAAAAATGTCTAACAAAAAAACGTCGTTTTTTACCAAAACCCACCGTAAAAAACGGCCGTTTAAAACGGACCGTTTAATACGGATGCCGTTTTTTTGCACCTTGGCCATCAGTGCATGTTCATGCACTTCAGAATCCTCCAAGGAAGATTTTCGTTCATAAGGGCTGCACTGTGTACATATCAACACGTGCTTCCTCCTGCATTCCAGCTTACAACTTGTACCAGCGAACCACGCCCCTCTTCCCCCCACCCACCCCCCGCGCCTTCTGCCCCAATCCATCCCTTACCCACCCACACTTATCATCCCACCCCTTTTTCTGCTCCGAATAACCTCGTCAGGTGCGGTGGCAGCGGCGACAGCAGCTGCGACTGAAACGGCACAGAAGGCGGCACCAGAGGTGGCAGCAGCGAACCAGAGGACAGTGCAGGCCAACGTGGCAGCAGCAGGGATCCTCTCTTCCCTACCCCTCTTCGCACAACCACCCCCCTTCTCCTCCTCATCCCCTTCCCTCCTGCCCCCTTCTGCTGCTTCCATGGCAAGCACTTCCTCCTCCGCCCACTTGTCCCCCTCTCCCTCCCCTTCTCCTGCCTTCTCTCTCCCATCAGTCCTGCTCCCCTACCTCCCCAGTCTCGCCCCATCTGCCATTCCCCAGCCTGCCGTCTCCGCCCATTCCACTCCCTCCTCCCTCTCCTCTGCCCCGGGCTCCGTCCTGTCCTCCTCTCCCTCCTCCTCTTCCGCTTCTCTCAAAACTTCCCTAACAGCCGCCACCTCCGTCCCGCATGCTGTCACTGCAGGCACATGCGCACCTGCTTCTTCCGCTCACCCCTCTGTCTACCAGCCATCGCTTCCTTCCTCAGCCTCCTTACCTTCCTTCCCTCTGCCTGGCAAAGCGCACACACAACGAGAAACAAAGCAGAACGACCAGGAGAACTGGCAGCAGCAGCAGCAGCAGCAGCAGCAGCTAGCAACGGGGAGCACCGCACCCTCGGCAGCACCGGCAGCATCCTCGGCTGAATCTGCAGCAGCAGCCGAGCTGGTCAAGGTAAGGCTGCATGGACGGCAGCCGGCAGCAGCAGGCAGGGATCGTCATCCGTACCACAAGCTTGGCAAGGACGATTCACCTTGGGAGTGAGGAGGGGTGGGAAGAATGGACTGGGGGTTGGGAAGAATGGGCTGGGGGTTGGGAAGAGGTGCACCTGGTGAGCTCAAAGTGGGTTTTCATCAAGTCATGCTATCCGGACTTTAACTCTATTGACCCAGTTCGACCCTTTTGCCCCCCACTTCAAACCTTACATCCCTCACTTCTAGCATAGCCGAGTGAGGGAGGGAGAGAGAGGGGCGCCTTATCCCACCATCGTTTCCCATCCCAATTATCCACATCTCTTTCCCCCCCACCCTCAATCCTTCTGTGCCAGCTCCGAACCTGTCTGCCCCCATCCCTCTCGCCCCTCTCTGTGCCCCGCCAGGCCCTGCGGTCGCAGGATGCAGAGGTGGCGCAGCTGTGGGGTGCGGTGAGGGAGAGAGACCACACCATTCAGGAGCTCGCTGCGCGCCTGGAGGTGCGTGGGTGTGTGGATCTCGAAGGGGGTGGGGAAAGAGGGGGGGGGGAGAGTGGGAAGGAGACCTTTGGAGACGACTCAAATGTTTCCTGAGGGAGTGAGGGCACCATCCAGGAGCTCGCTGCCCGGCTGGAGGTGCGGGGGTGTGTGGGGCACGGGGGAGGGGGAGAGGGAAGCAGGAGCGAGATAGGTAGAAGAGTTTTTGTCTCCTCCCGTCCCATCTCTGGGTCGCCCTCAACCCCCTCTTCTCCCTCCATCCCGACCGCCCTCCCCACTCCTGGCAGGAGGTAGCAGCGGCAGCAGACGCAGCAGCAGACGCAGCCACCTTAGCAATGAAAGAGCGGGACTCGATAAAGCAGGCAGCGAGCAAGCTGTGCAGTGACATGGAGGGGCGGTTCAGTGAGACGGAGAGGCAGATGGCAGCAGCAGTGGGGGCAAAGGTGGCTGCACAGGAGAGGCTGAGGGGACAGATGGAAAGGGCCGCTGCAGCAGAGGAGAAGGCGGAGAGGTTGGAGAAGGAGGTGGAGGAGATGAGGGAGGGGATGAGGAGGATGAAAGAAGAGGTCGCTTCTGCGGCTGCTGCTGGTGCCGGTGCTGCTGGTGATGGTGGTGGTGGGGCTGGTGGTGGTGCAGGGGCAACAGGAGGAGCTGGGAGTGGGTGGAGTGGGGAGGAGGAGGTGATGAGGGAGAGAGCGAGGACGGAGAGTGAGAGGGAGAGGGCGGAGAAGGAAACAGAGAGAGCAGAGCGGGAGAGGGCGGAGAGGGAGAGAGTGCGTGCGGAGGGGGCAGAGGCAGCGAGGGAGGATGCGGTGCGAGTGGCGATGCTGTGGAAAGCTGAAGCAGAGAAATGGCAGGTGGAGGCTGCAAGGTAAGGCAATGGCGGAGGCTCTCATGTACTCAAGCACAAAGATCAATGGATCCCCACTGGTGCTCTCTTCCACTTGCTGTGGAAAGCAGAGGCGGAGAAATGGCAGATGGAGGCTGTGCAGTAAGGCGATGGGGGAAGCAGAGAGCCAGGCAAGGAAATGAGGGCTTTCACAGGAAATTACGATCGGATTACTCTCTGATAGTAAGGGGGCTTCTGGTTGCTATATGTGGACTCTGTTGCCTTTCACCTTATCGCCATTCTTGCTGCGTGTTTGTTCCTTCTCCTGCAAGCGCCGTGCACACCATTCTTTGTCATGCACACTCCACCACCACTCGTGCCTCGCTTCCTTCCCTTGCTTCCGACATTATTTTCCGTCTTATTAAACATTTAACATTTATGCCTTGCCTCATTTCTGCCCCCCCTGTCCCCTCTCCTCTCCCTACCATGCTGGCGCAACAGCTCACCCGCAGCACCTGGCGCCGCGCATTACCCCCTTCGCCTCCCCGCCCGCCCACTCGACCCTTGGCTCCTCCCAAACATCTTGGTCATTACCTCTTCTCTCACTCTTCTTCCGTTGCCCCCCCTGTCCCCCCTCCTCTCCCCACCAGGCTGGCACAAACAGCTCACCTGCAGCATCTGGTGCCACTTATTGCCCCCTCCCCCTCCCCCTCCCACCCCACGCAACCCTCCGCTCCTCCCTACTCTTTCTTATCCACGCCGTCCCCATACTCCACCTCTTCTGATGTTTCACCGCTCCCTGCTGCTCTTACTGGGGAGCAGCAACTGCATCAGCAGCAACAGGAAGAGCAGCAGAAACAGGAGCAGCAGCAGCAGCAATGGAAGCAGCATCAGCAGCAGCGACAGCCGCAGGAGCAGCAGCAGGAGCAGAACGATCAGCAGGAACAGCAGCAGCAGCAGCAGCAGCAGCAGCAGGGGGAGCAGGAGGAGGTGGAGGTAGCAGGTGATCTAGATATGGACCCTTTGACGGAGAGGCTCAAGGCGCTACTTTCCTTTACAGCACACGACTCCCCCTCTCCCGTGGAACTCTCGTCCTCCTCACCGCCCTCTGGTGACTCCTCTCTGCCAGTGGATGCACCCCCCCACCTGGCACATCCCGCTCTCTCCTATGCTCCCAATGCTTGGGACTCCCACTCCTCTCCTGCTCCCATGGACCCGTCTCAAGTCACCCAGTACATGCCATCAAGCTCCCCTTACATGGGCGACCTGCAGCCGCCCTCTCCCAATGGCCTCTTCACAGCTCCGAACCCCACAGCAGCAGGTGCAGCTGAAGCCGGGTGTGCAGGTGGGAGCACAGCAGAGGGTGCAGCTGCAGGTGGGCCATTGTCCTTGTCATCAGTGTCTGTTGGGGCAGACCACAACGTGGGTGTGCTGGGCCAAGCACAGCCGCCACCACAGCTGCCACAGCAGCTGCCTTCTACAGTGCCAGACAATTTCGCTGCTGCTGCTACGACTGCCTCTCCCGATGCCGCTAATGCGGCTGCTGCTGCGGCTGCCCCTGCTGCTGCCGCTGATGTGGCTGCTGCTGCCGCTGATTCTTCCTCTGTTAGCGCTTCTTCGAACAGCATGGAACTGAATTCTTTCCCGCTCCCAGTTGCCTCCTCATTTCCCCCTGATATTGCACCAACCCACTACACTTCACACGCGTTTTCCACCATCAAGCCAGAGGTCCCAGCAGCAGTAACAGCAGACTCGGCAGCGGCAGTTGCAGGCGCATCAGCGCCAGCTGCAGCAACGCCTGTGCCAGCAGCAGCATCGGCAGCAACAGCAGCGTCAGGTGCAGCACCAGAACCAGAGGCAGCAGCACTAGCACCAGCAGCAGAAGCAGTAATTTCATCCCCACCAGGAGCTGTTGCTTCTATGGAAGCAGCAGCAGCAGCAGAGGCAATATCCAAGCTAACATGAGCACCAGCAGAGAAGCAGGGTCCTCGATTGCAGACGAAATCCATCTGTTTGTCTGATTTTCAGAAGTTTTTTTAGGCGTTCATATGATTTTTTAGACATCCAATAATCAAACTTCTGACGCTCTAGAAAATGTTATTTAGTTCCTCTGATTTTCCAGGAACTGTATGTTGGGCTGACAATAGCCCTAGGATCTTTTCAGAATGCCAAGTCCTTGTAACAGTGTGCTTGATAGCACAACGGAAGTCTTGAGTTGAACCAGGCCCCCAAATTGGTTTTGGGGGTGTCTGATTCATCAGACTTGTCATCCCTTGGTATGGTCTTCAGAGTTGCCCCTAAAAAAAAGTCCAAAGAATCAGAGTAACAAGAGATTTTTTGTCTGATTATTCAGAGTTACCATTTTGCGCCGAGCTTCATGCTGAACAACAGGAGATGGACCTGTTTGAAGAAAGACAACCAAGAAACAAGCAGCAACCGTTAGTCTTCTATGCTCAACGAAGAAACGACAACTACAATCGACGTGACAGGCAAAATCGACACGACACCAAAGGACTCACCATCGTGCCGCCGTTCTGCCACAACTGTCAGACATCCGGACACTCCAAAGTTAACTGCACACGCCCCAGAGTTTATCGTCCAGTAGACCCACAAGTCGCTTCCACTCAAGAAAGTCTGCCAAGGCGTTCCTCCACATCTGCACAGGGCACACAGAACATCATCAATTGTATGGTACGCATCGACAACTGCGCGCCCGGATCACCACCCACTTACGCTCCAGACGAAGAAGAACTGCCGCCGCCGCGCTCACAAGGCCTTGAGGTCAACCCGACGTACGCTGCAGTCGCCAACGCCGAACCCACCGTGCGAAACACCTGGTTCTTGGACAGCTGTTGCGGCCAACACATGTGTTCTTCCGGACGCTTCGTGCAACGAGAGCGACGCCTCAACCGCGATGTCATCATCACCGTCGCCAATAACGAGAACCTGATAACAAACAGACAAGGAGTGGTTCAGTTGCAGTCCATGGAGACAAATGTCATACTGCAACTCAACAAGGTTCTAATCATCGACAACTTGGGATACAATCTGCTAAGCGTCAGTCAGCTAATGGAAAAGGGGATTCACCTGGAATGCGACTTGGACGCCAACGAATTTCGTCTTTACCACAGGAAGGGCGGCCTTTTCATCGGTCGCGCTCTCCTGAAGTCGGGTGTCTTCGTGTTGGATTTCGTCCCCGACCGCGGTACTGCCGACAGCGATGGCATCGTGTCGTTCGCCGCCTGGACGCACCCGCCGGATCTTGACCCCGACTTTACCCCAGATGGATTCTGGTACTCCAACACCATACCTGCAGCAGAGAGAACACGAGCGTTAGCAGTCATCCGACAAGAAAGACAAGTACCAGCAAGCGTCCTTCCCGCGACATCACCTGCAGTAGCAGCAGCTGGACCCAGCCGTGTACCATCACCAGCAATTCGAGGACCGCCAACCGAAGCAGATCAACTTATGCCCATCACCCGAGAAGTCTGTCGAAGTCCCGCCACGGTCGTCGCGTCCTTCTCCAACGCCGACATGTACCAACGATCACCCGGCCATCGTGCTCCCGACGACATCTGGCATCAACGCCTCGGGCATCCTGCAAACATCACAGTGCTACAAATCATACAAGCCGAAGTGTTAGAAAGAAACGCCCTTCTTACAACAAGCGGCCAAGAACTTCGACGACCCCGCACACGATGCTTCACGTGTCCCGAAGCCGATCCTCCCCACCAACCTTTTACGTCGCACCACAATCCCAGCGCACCTGCATACGAACCGATGAAAAAAGTCAACAGCGACATCTTAAATATGCCTTGAGATGACAGTGAAGCAAAATACAACTACGTCATAACGTTCATCGACGCAGCAACACGATACGTATGGCACTACAACCTCAAGACAGGAGATCAAGCGTTCGAAGCCTTCACGGCATGGCTGCCCATCGCTGAGCGAGAATCGGGCTCGCAACTCAAGAACTTCCAGACAGACGGAGCACTGGAGTACCAGTCACAAAGATTCAGGAACTACCTGGCAGAAAGAGGCATCAGATGCCTAGTGTCCCTGCCCTACGCTCACCAACAGCAGGGGGTCGCAGAAAGGATGAACCGGACCTTGCAGACGACGATGCAAAAGCTGCTCCTGGGGATGAGACTGCCCAACACACAGTGGCCAGATGCGATGACGCATGTAGTCCACCTGCACAATTTGCTGTCCTCGTCCTCACTTCCCAACAACGCATCACCGCACCTCCTGTGGACACGAAAAAGGGGCAGCACAAAATTACTTCGAGTCTTCGGCTGCATGGTACAGTACAGACCCCACACAGCTCGAGCAGGACGCTTCACTCAACGAGCACGGTGGGGACTACACCTCGGCATCGCAAAACATTTCCAAGCATGGAAACTCCTCGACATACAAGACAAAAATACCGTGGCCTCACGTGATGTGATTTTCTACGAGCGACTGATGCTACAGCATTACCTGGACAACGTCGCCAACACAGACGACCCCACCGACGGCTTTGAGGGCCTTCGGTCCTTCCCCGATCGTGCTGCCGAAGCTGACGCAGCAGAAGAAGACGTACCTGAAGCCTCGGAAACTGTCGGACCACTCCCTTACTGCTCCGTGCCCGTTCCCCTCGACGACGAAAATCCTCTCGATAGTAACAACCTCGACACCTATTACCACTTCACTGACCAAGGTTACGTTACACCTCAACCAGTCGACACGAATGTCTGAGAACGCATCGGACCAAATTTCTTACCTGACCCAGAAGATGGTGACGAAGCAGCCTATCCCGGGAATGAAAATTCCCCTCGACACACACCCACGGGCCTGCAGATCCTTGGACTATGGGTCGTCGTCCAGAGCCCGCCACCGCCGTCTCCGCGCGAGCCAACGACTCTGTCGCAGGCTCTGGGGGGGGAACACAAGGCAAAATGGAAGGAAGCAATGGAAAAAGAACTGAAGGCCCTGCAAGACCGAAACACGTGGAAACTAGTACCTGCAACAAAGACCAACGGGAAGAATGTGCTCTCGGGGAAGTGGGTGTACCGAATCAAGACTAATGCGGATGGCTCCATCGACCGCTTCTAGGCTCGCTGGGTTGTACGTGGATTCGATCAGCGATACGGAACCAACTACATGGAGACATTCACCCCAGCCTCCCGACATACCTCCCTGCGCATTGTGCTCGCCGCCGCAGCCACGAAAAAGTTACCACTGCAGCAAATCGACGTCGCCAACGCATTCTTGTACGCACCTGTGGACGCTGAGATCTTCGTCGAGCAGCCCCACGGCTTCATCGACGATCCAACAAAAGTGTGCCAGCTGATAAAATCTCTCTACGGAATCAAACAAGCCCTGCGGCTTTGGCAGCAGCACCTTCACGGCCGCCTCGTCAGGATCGGCTTCCTGCAGCTGCCGCACGACTAAGGGATGTACTGACTGCAGAAGGGGGGTGACTTTGTCCTACTCATCGTCTACGTCGATGACCTGCTGTACGTTGGCTCCACTACTGACGTCGTCACCTGGTTCGAAGGGGAGCTGAAGAGTGATTTAACACTCACGGTGTCAGACACCGTCACCCAGTACCTAGGTCTGAACGTCGTCGAAGACGATTCGGCGTTCTACCTACACGCCGGAAAGTATGCAGGCGTCGTTGCAAAGAAATTCGGACTAACGCCGGTCGCAGTGGCGACTCCCTATCGCTAGGGGAACGACAACAGTGACACCTCCGCAAAGCTTCCCACTAAGCAGATCCAGGAATACCAACAGAAGCTCGGTTGTCTCCTGTTCGCAGCCGTAACCTGCCGACCGGATCTGTCCTACAGCGCTAGTCAACTGGCGACACACCTGAAGCAGCCAGAGCAAGAGGATCTCGAAGAGTTAAATCGGGCACTACTCTACTTCGTCTCTACGCCGATGACCGGACTTACCTACAGCAAAGTAAAACCGTCGTCCGTACGACTACTCGGCTATGTCAACGCCGGCCATGCGGGAGATAGGGAAAATCGACGTTCCAGAACGGGCTACATCTAGCGACTAGAACCTATCGGGACTATCTCCTAGGCAAAGTTCGATTACTGCTTGCTGCTGACCGGGCAGATAAACGTCACCGAATCTAGACACGTCAGCACTCTAGAAACGAAGGGGAGTGTTGGAAATACCTCAAGGACTTAAGCGTTTCTGAAGTGTAACACTACACTCGAGTAAAGCCGTATCGAGTACACGAGTCAAGGAAGGTTACACGAGGAGGTTGAACGAAAGAACACGAAAAGACGAAAGACTCGAAGGGTCGCAATCGGAGGCTGCGACTGGCCGTTACAACTGCAAGGGTGGTAACCGAATCGACCATCGAGTCGATTGTGCGACTCCATAACCGTTCCTTCAACTGTTTTCTACAACTGCTTTACTTTCCTATTGTCTATATATTGCTGTATGCTTGTTTCTTATAATCAATCACTTGCTCTCACATACTAGTGCAAGGGTTCAACTACTCAACTTCCGCTGCACTACTCAAGCATCCTTGTACAACTGGGACTTAGTCTCTAAAAGATCCAAAGGGCCTTTTCTTAGCCCAATACTCTTCTTGCGTGCTCTTGCTATCTGTGTGCAGGCGACAGCATACAGAATTTGGTGTTACCCTCGACCCAGCCCCGCGCCAGCGCAAATGGGGCGGGCGGAAAGGAATTGGGGGGCGGGCAAAGTAAAATTGCAGGGAGGGAGGGAAATCGCGCCATCCACGTGGCTATTTCGTGAAGGGCCAATCGGCCCCTCACACCCACACCCTGCACAAAATGGGAGGTGATTTTGGTGAAGGGCCAGTCAGCTCCCTCACACAGCACCCATTACGCACTGGCCTTTGATTTTGGTGAAGGGCCGGTAACCGCCCTCACAAAGCCCCCCGCAAGCATCGGGCTCTGATTTTGGCTAAGGGCCAATCAGCTACACTAGTAGAAAAAGTCTGAAAAACCAGCGTAGGTACATACATCTGTTAAAACTAGGAACTAGGACGCCATATATGAGAACAAGTGATTTATTATAGCAAAGGGATACAAGGTTTACCGTAATCCCCCGTATATAAGACGTGCCGAAATAGTCAGCACATGGGTGGCATATGCGGGGGATAGCTTTGTTAGAAAGAGAGAATGACTAGAATAGGAAGATACAGGGCAATATAGACTAGTGTGCTGTACCCTCTAAGGCACAAACCTGTCTAGGC